AAAGTGCCCGAGCACATTAAAATGGTACAAATACAAGTACTCGTAAACATTTTACTTGCATTGAAACTGTATTTCGTAAGAAATTGCGGATTTTCTGATATTCTCCATACTGCAAAAATGATTTTACCAGCACTGGCACGGCGACATCTCTCGACTTTTCGGTGTAACTACCCCACAAATGATGTAATTAATTGTATTCATCTATATTAAAAATATCAAATAGTAATGAACTCGTGCTCTTTTTTGCATTTAAAACTGCTTATCAGGAAGATAATGAATAGAAACTAAAATCTCCATACATTTTCAAACGGCTTCATATCACTCTTATAAATAAGTACGACCGATATCACAAATGGCGCAATTATATCAACAATCAATACGAAACTAACGATTTTAAATTGGCTCACTACTTAAGTAGCCTATTGGTCCCAAGCAAACGATTAACGTACCCTATTCTAGTTGAAATTCTATTACTACACTATGTTTGTTTTGATTCGCTATGAAAGTTTGACAGATAACATCAGGGGTGTGTGGATTCATGCAGAATATGCAGGGGTGAGTGAAATAGCTTGGGACTGCTTGGGACCGTTGTTCTGGTACTGAGTGAGCCAAAAATAATAATGATTTTCTTCGGGACCCAGTGGTCTTAGAGTTACCTCCATGGCTGAGCCAAAAAGTTGAGCACGTTATTTCGGGACCTTCTAGTCTTAGAGTTACCTCTATGATTATATCCCGTATGGTTAGTACGACAGCCCGAATAGGTGGTTAAGCACTTTTATGGTTATTTTGTACGCACTGTATTTGTAAAACAACAAAACATGATTAATTAAGAAAAAAATCGTCAATACAGAAAATACAGATTTTTTAATAGAGTGGATACAGATTTTTTATAAAACCACCTGGCAGCTCTGGTTATGCTTTGTTATGCCGGCGACATACTCACCACTATGCATTCGTGAATAATTTTAATTTGTAAATTTTACGCGTTATTTTAATCGTTTTTTGTTGGTGTTAGTTTAGTTAGCTAAGGATAAAATTATCGTTTAATGTTGTCTCGCGTATTCAATAAAGTTAGGTCCTGATTCTCCTCCCGCTGCAAAAGAAGGCGAAAACCATAATCAACATAACAGTCGAGCGCGGTTGCAGGAGCGATGGTGGTTTTGTTTTGTGATTGTGACGTTGTGAAAAGAGTGAGAACAATTCGAGCCACGGTGAAGTACGGGTGTTATTCTGCTCGGAGACGTATTATCGTTTTTAGTCCCGAGATAGTGACTCCAACTGGGAGAAGAATTTCCAATCGTGTCGCGAGTGCAAGTACGCATCTTCCCAGTGCACCGCGAGTGGGAAGCCGGCCCCGTGGCTGCGAAAATTAGTGTTGTTTAGTGCAACAACCAAGGGTGTCGGATCGCCATTGTGGGAAGTAGGACCTACACGCTCCTCTGGCTAATCACCAAGGATCCGGCCAACACCCGCCGTCCTAACTGCGGTGGCTCAGCCAATAGAGCCAGTCTCGCCACCGCAGTTATTCGACAAGCAGGATGAAGCAGGCAGTACTCAGGTGAGTTTTCCTGGGCAGAAACACTGCGGTGTCTGCCGGGGTTGCCCCGGCTAATTGTCAAGGACCGCTGCTAAGCAGCCGAAGAACAAGACCGCTCAGGCCGTGCTTTGTAGCAGCAGAACCGCCGCCATACCGTCGGCCCCACCGAACATCAGCAGCAACGGCGAGGAGGAGGACAAAGGACAGATAAGTAGATAATAGACGTCTAAAATTGATTCCTTCTTGTTGGTTTGTTGTTTCACCCAAATCCGAACGACTTTGGGGGAAGTACCGTTGCTCGAGGCCGCACCGCCGGGGTAAGATCGGGCCAGCTATAGGCTGGCAGGTAAGCCGCAACTTACACATCTGATCACTCAATGTGCACACTTAGAAATTAATACCGAACTCGGTTTAATTTTCTACCGAACCTCTTCGGTTACCAACGAGAAACCGAACAAATCAAGACCAACAATTGAAATGGCCTTAACTGCATTTTGTAAACAAACCTTGTAAGGCCATTTTCTCGCGAACCGAGGTCCGCAAAGGCAAACCAACATAATGAACAGGTAGGGGAAATTCTCCTCTACCCGATTGTGGTTTAGGTTTGCGAATGAAGGTTTCGGTTCGCGAGAAAATGGCCTTACAAGGTTTGTTTACAAAATGGAGTTAAGGCCATTACAATTGTTGGTCTTGAAATGGTTTAAAAACATTTTTTTTCAGGTGTATTTATCGAATCAGACCCGAATGTCGGTAAAATAGTATAAATTTCACATATAGAAATGAAGGCTGAACCAGAGACAAACAGACGTAACTCTTTGATAAAGTTTTTCTTGAAAACATAGTATCTCAAAACATAGGACCTCAGTAACGACATCTCTCGGGCTTCTCGCGGAAAACAAGCTTGCTCGCTAGCTCGCAAACAATATTGCATAAAAGTTATATAGAATGTATAGAAACGTCAAAGTGATCCGATTCCAGCGCTGCAGCGAGTAGTTCGCGGAACTGATAATATTCAAATCAACCGTTAAATACGTGAACGAAGATGTATAATGAAGTGTTACGTCTGTTTGTCTGTGGCTGAACCGAAAAGTACGGTGAAGTATCGAAATTTACGAATTCGGTACGTGACAACCGAGAAACTCGGTAAACTGAACCGAACGTCAAACGCTTTAACGTCATACGTTCCACTTGCGCTCAACTTCGTGACGGAAATTTTAACCGAAAACTCGGTTCTCTAAGCTGAGTTTATTTTTTTTCTCGCGTGTGCTCGTTGGACGTGTGCAACAATTCAGTGAAAATGGAAAAAGTTCTGCACGTTTGATTGAAATCTTTTGTAAGTATTTTATTCAAGTATATATTTGGAAGAGTTAATAAAAATAAGAAATATTATCACAGACAAACAGACGTAACTCTTCATTGTGTATCTTCGTTCATGCATTTAACGGTTGATTTGAATATTATCAGTTCCGCGAACTACTCGCCGCAGCGCTGGCATCGGATCACTTTGACGTTTCTATATATTCTATAGAACTTTTATGCAATATTGTTTACGAGCTAGCGAGCAAGCTTGTTTTCCGCGAGAAGCCAGAGAGATGTCGCTACTGAGGTTATATGTTTTGAGATACTATGTTTTCAAGAACAAGTTTTTCAAAGAGTTACGTCTGTTTGTCTGTGATATTATCATCTGTCGCATTACATAACTGGTTTTATTTTTATGAAACTTCGAAGTAACGTTTCCTTCATAGAAATTTAAAGCAGGATTTGAAGTGAAAACAGAGCACTTCCCAAAAAACCGAATTCCGTAATTACAACAGGTGGGTCGGTTTGTTTGACAGCGTTCGGTAGTTCTTGAGTAAACCGATGTTCGGTTATTTCTGCTTAAGTTTATTTTTCGTCAACCGAGATTTTCGGTAACTTTGACACATTGTGGGTATAAAAAGAACTAACGACAGCTCGGTTATTCCTCTTTGAACCGAACAGACTACCGAGCGTTCAGCAGCTAAAAACTCCGTTGAAACCAGGGGGGCGACTTTATCTACGATGCAGGAAATATTGTGTTCTGCTGTGGCTAGCTGCGCGTACGCTTAGTAGATAGAAAGAAGATTTATCACGATTTTGAAGATTTCCTGCAAAAAGATGATGCGCGATGCAAGTAGATGCGAGAAATGAAAGAAGATTTTTTCGCTAGTGTGAGATTTTTTGAGCATCTAGAATTGAGATTTGAGATTTAGATGTGTCGCCCCTCTCGGGTTGAAATCAAACCGAGTTCGGTATTATTTTCTAAGTGTGTGCGCAATGTACTGATTTTCTGAAATATTTAAACAAAGTGGGAATCAAGCAAACACAAAATTTGCTTGTCTTTCACCCTGCGCAAGTGTAAAGCAGTGGAGAAGAGAAGACAGACACACACCCAGAAATAACGAAAGCTCAATGTGTAGCCATCGCTCCGATGGCTCCGATGCAAGGAGCGCCACTCAGTGTGGTTGCAAAAGACAAAATTCTTCTTCGTTATGCTCTTCTTCATCTCCTATGCATGCAGTCGTGGTAAGCAAAGTCTGCAACGAATTCAAAGAAGACATTATTCGCTCCCTGCGCCGCACGGAGTGTACCACTCACAGATCAGTTGGAAAAGAGTGTGCGAAGTAAATGGGAGAACCACACCCTCTTTGTCGAGTGTTGTGAGATGCATGCACAAAGTTGCTTTGCTAACGCTCTAAGAGCAACCGTAACGGTCGTTGTCATTTGCGCGACTATTTTAACAGCGCACAGCGCTCTCATTTTAGTTTAATCACTCTTCTCCACACCGGTCGCTGCTATCGCGGTTATCAATTTACTCGCCGTAGTCCGTACCGGTAGTGAGCATTTTGACATTTCTACGAATAGCAACCTTTCTCCCGCGCTGCTATCGCGCTGCTAAGGCTGTGAACCATTTGCCGAGATAAATTTAACTCGTGGTTAAAAGTGACATTTCGAAAGTTATTTTCTATGTTCGAAAATCCCCGTGCTGTCGATCGACCGGTTTTCGAGCCACGGTTGTCAAAATTTAACTTCTTGTCTGTCAGAAATAACCATGCTCGGATAGCAGGGTTAATCGATAACTTTTCATCTGTCAAATTTTAACCAAAAGTTAAAATAATCCACCAAATGGTTCAGAGCCTAAATTTGGTAACGCGCTTCTCACCGAGAAGCCGACTGCTATTTTAGTTACTCGTATGGCAACCCCCGATACGGTAGCTGCGCTATGATGAGGGCTGCTAAAATGAGTTTAGCAGCGTACCGTTACGGTTGCTCTAAGGTGCTTTCCAGCCCTGAAAATGGGGAAATCTGCAATAGAACAAGGGGGTTGATATGTATGAAGCCAGGTTAGATTTTTTTTTCGACTGTCCAGCTACTGGCAAAACTAGCTAACCAACCCCCTACAGCTCTGGAGATTCGGATACACCTTGAAGGCAACGTTCGTCGGTTTTAACTATATCGTTTGCTTCAATTTTATTGAAATGGAGCATAAACTTGTTCTCACAGTGATATATTGGATTTCACATTTGATTTAAACTTTATTTACATGGTCATTTTTCGTCTAAAATTTCTGCACAGTTTTCCTGCTCGCATCTAAACTGCCGCAGGAAAACAAAACGAAACAAAACACAACTATCAATAAACTCACTGCTTATACTCTTCTTTCCTTCCTCCTTCCTAAACAAAGCGTCAAAAATAAATAAATAAAAGCATCTTGCCGCCTACTACGAGTGTGGCAACTCACATAAAAAAAGTGTAGAGTCCTAACCTAACAAACGGAATTCGGATTCGCACCAATCTCCAACCAATCTTCCCAGTACAGGCCTCCTCGTACTGCTCTGGCCGCTCATATGCTCGCTCGCTTTCTCCAAAAACTGTCTATCTATGTACATGTGTTTGTGTGACTTGCCAAAGCCGCGGTAATCATTGTTTTTCGGGGGGAACCCTCAGAACATCATCTCGTCGCGCGATCGGTAATAGTAAATTGGTAGACTAAAAACAACTACTGTGCTAAGGAAATAAGGAACAAAGAGAGAGAGAGATAGGAGATAGGAAACAGGAAACCGCTCACCCAGAGTTTGAGAAAAATAGTACAAAAAACCCCACAATATCTAACGATTGTTTATGCTTTAAAAATCTACAACGATAGTTGCTAGCGGTGTACAAAGATATAACTACGAGTGTTTGTATGTTTGTGTGTGTGTGTTAGAGGCGACTACACGCTAAAACAGTTATCAGCAAATAGGAATGGGAAATGTTTTGAGGAACAAGGAAGTGTTGGTTTTGCGTTTTGAATGCTATATTATTCAATGGTGATTTTCTTTTCTCGGGAAAGGTTAGTTAAAAGTACGGATTTTTTTAAAATATATACACGAAAAAATAACAGGGAAAGAGTTTGGCCCACGTGTTTAGAAAATAGGTTTCACGAGTTTGGAATCAGCTTAGTGCCCTTCGGAGCAGTCGTCGTCCGGCACTGGCGCATTGACCTGCGTCGTTGCCGGTCGACGGTGGTGTTGATCCGGAAGCGATTTGGTATCGTTGGCACTGAGCACGAAGATCGGTGAACTGTAGTCCAGGTACTTGTCGGCACCGATGCTCATCATCCGGTTGCCATTGCTGTAGTGCTTCATCTTGTTTTTGCCCCGTTTGAGCATGACAAACACGACCAGAATGCTTACGAGAAAAGCGGAAGCCGTGGCCAGGACGAACACGATCGTTTGGAAGGTGTTCTCCGGAATGCCAGACGATTGCTGAGGTACTGGGAGATTGGTGGAGATTTTGTGCGAGAAACGAGACTGGGTGACGTCCGCTATGAGAGCGCCGTGGTACATGACGAAGACATGATCGCGAACCATTTCCTCGATTGCGAAGGCGTCATCCACTTTGTTGTCCTCGATGAGGTCGAAGCGGAGCATTACGCTGCCGTCGCTGTTTTCGTGCACTCGGTAGTTGTCGAAGATGCTGCCGATCAGCGAGAGCAGATCGTTTCGGAGCACTTCGTACAGGTTCAGCAGGATCCGTTGGTGCGGATTGTTGAGATGCAGTTCGATTTCCACGGCGTCGATCGCAGTGAAGAGACAACTGCGGATACCTCGCTTGAAGGTGCTGGATAGAGGCAGCTGATTACCAGCTGCGTCTACGCACCAACAGGTATCTCCATTGCACTGGGTCGGTTCAAAAGCGCCGTTATCGTCGCAGGCAACGGGAAAGGAAGCTGCCAGCTTCAGCGCCTGGCAGCGGGTCGTGGAGGCGCTAAGCTTTTTCACCGGATCTTCGATGAAGTTGCTTCCATCGTCGGTTCTGGCCATCTCGATGATCTTCTCCGTCACGGCCGAGATGGAACCGATATAGCGCGGTTCCGGGGCGAAGTTGGCCAGAGTGTTGGGTGCACTGGCTGACGGCACCGTGGGTTCTAGGTCTTCGTCGATGTAGTTGTTCTCGTCGACCAAGAAGGTAATCTGCCGGATCAGTTCCTCCATGACTGTGCGGGGAAAAGATCGAAACTTTAGAGAACCTATTCGCTAGTTAAAGAAGGAATCACTTACCTGGATCGCTGGATTCCTCGCCGCTGGAAGATAGCCGCCTCCTGGCTTGCCGGCTGCTGCACTTGGGTTCCGAACCCTTGGTCAGTGAGCCCTTGACCGGAGCTCCCTTCTTATCCGCACACCAGCAAACTCCAAGGCTGGGAGTTTCCTGTGTCGTCGTTCCGTTGCTGGGACCGGTCGATCCGAGGCACTGCACTGGGCTCCAAAAGCCGGTTTCCGGATCGCAGCGCGGCTGGAACCAAGTGCTCGGCTGTCCGGCACGCTTGGCGGCCATCGCATTCTTCAACCGCAGTCGTTCGCACTGGGACAAAACCGGACAAACTCCGTTGCAGGCCTGTTCGCTGTGGAACAAATTCTTCGATTGACAGTTGCTCGATTTTGGCAGATTAACCGGGACGCATTTGTTCAACCGTGGACTGAAACGCCACTTGGTGATACTTTCTAGGTCGTTGTTGTCCGAGAGGTGCATCTCCGACGCCAGGCAGCTCGATTCGATCGATTCGAAGCAAACATCTCCTGCAAAAAAAAAATGAGATAATTTATTAATAACGCGGACACAACCTGCAGGTATCCATCGATAACTTACTTGTTTTAGCACAACAAGACCCCCGGTTGCTGATCAGATTGAGCTGGCAGACGTGCGTGGACGGGCAGGTTTCGGCGTCGTTTTGTGGGCCACAGACGGTCTCGCGCCCTCCGGATTTCAGCGGGAGTCCTTCCGGACAGACGGAATCACGGATCGGCACGCAGATCGGCATCTTCGGACACGGCACGGAGATACACTCGACTTGGATCAGTTGGCACTCTTCGCCTCGGGGACAGGAGATTTCACCGCACGGGTTGCGGCACTCGCAGGTCTTGCACCCGTTGGCATCGATCTTGTAGCCGTACTCGCACGGCGGACACTTCCTCAGGGGGCATTCGCTTTTCAGATAGATGTCGCAGTTGGGTTCGGCATTCGTAGAGCGCGTTCCACTCTTCTCGTTTCCGTATTCATCGACGCACCAGCAGACGTTTCCGGGACCGCACTGGATTGTTCGATAGCTTCCATCGATATCGCACTGGGAGATGTACTTCTGTTTGGGTGGAACTCCCAACTCGCTGGCCTGGTGCAGCTGGATGGTCTGCAGATGTTGGCATGCGGTCTTCAGCTGCGGTTCGACGCACTGCGTTCCACAGCCGTTCGAGCAGCAACGCTTGGAAGCTTCGCAGTGTGCATCGGTTCGGCATTCGTATTCGCAGGATCCGGAGTCGGCATTTTCGCTACCCGGTGGAACCAGGAACGGACACTGGCCGGGTTTCTTCGGGAAGCACGCCGGTACCGGTGGACAGTATTCACCTTCACAGGACACTTCAACCGATCGACATTCTTGGCCTTCTGGGCATGGAACACTGTCACACGGGTCACGGCATTCGCAGGACGGACACTGCGTGTCCGAATCTAGTAGAAAACCGTAGTCGCAACCCATTCGGCAGGTCAAGTCCAGGCAGCCGAGAGATTCGCGCAAATCTTCGCACGACTTTTTGGTGGCGTTCATTCCTCGAGTTCTGGGAATCTCGGTACCGAAGTTGTCTACGCACCAGCACTCTTCGACGTCGATTTCTATCAAGTCATCCTCAACGGGAGACGGTTTCTTCAGCAGCGTCGAAGGCTTGATCTCCGGTTTGTCCACATTGACATTGGAGTTCTTCGAATCCACCCGGTTGTAATCGATAATCTTGGCAGATCGGCCTTGGACACCGAGGTCTTCCTCCGGTATCAGCATGCGCTGACGCAGGTAGGACATGACAGCATCCGATGCGTTCTCATCGGAAGCCTGCAGGCGCGTGCTGCCGTACACATCGTCAACTTTCACCAACTTCAGGTTCTGGCCCGGGGTCGGAATGACGGTGTCTCGCTTGACACGCTTGGCATCTTCCAGCAGTTTGCGCATCTGTCGGATGTTGTTCTGCTCCAGGTAGCGTCGCTGCTCGACACGATTGACCCGGACCTTCTTCCGGGTGCACTGCACCGCTTCATAGCCTCCGTCCATCGAACAGCTTGGTGGCGGCAGTGCTAGCTCCATACCCTCAACCGTTCCCTCCATGCGATCCGAAAAGTCACGCAGATATTCGCACACTTTAGGGGGGAGCAAACAATAAGGTTAGAACATTGAATGAGAAAAAGCAAACAGAGAGTACTTACTGGACTGTTGACGTCCTTCCGGCGTCGGAACGGTTTCGTTTTCCACGGGACAGCAAACGCTTCCCGATTCGCCGTGTAGCTTCATGCATTCGTGCGTCTCCGGGCAGTTGATGGTGTTGGATAGGGAACGCTTCCGGCCCAGCATGTCCTCTTCGGCGTCGTCGAAGAACGTGCGGCTCTGGTACTCGCGGCTCTTGGGGCGGTCTGATGGAGTGATGGTTGATAAGCTACTAGGAATGCCAGAAGACACGCTTCGAAGAAACTTACCTTGATGACAGTACAGCAGTTCACCGGTGGCATTATCGGCCAGTGGAGTACCCATTTCGCACGGGTTGGAATACACCAGGTCCGGCTTGCAGATTGGTTCCGAGGAGCACAGTCCCGAAAAGGAAGCACATTTCGGGTCCTTGGCCACTTCGCAGTGCGATCCCGATGGGCAGAGGAAGCCTTCGCAGGGTTCCGAGCATTCGCACGTTGGACAGCCGTTGTGATCGTTCTTGAAGCCGTACTCGCAAACAGCGGCGCAGATGTTGTGATCGCATAGCGCTTGCGATGCTCCGTCAACGCTTCGTCCACCGCTGCGGCCGATCATGTTCTCGACACCGTCGCAGTTGACCATCAGTGCGGCGCCCATCGTTCCCTTGATCTTGTTGCCGCTCTTGGGATCCACGCACCAGCAAACCAGTCCGTTGCGGGAGCATTGTCGCATCGAGAAGCTTCCACCAGGGCCGTCGCACTGCGGAACGTAACCGCGGCCTTCGCGTTCGTTGATCGAGAGCAGTTCCGAAAGCATTCGAGCCTGGTGACAGGTGGTCACGTTGTGCGGCTGTTGACAGTTACGTCCGCAGCCGTTGGAGGTGCAGCACTTCTGCATCTGAGGACACTCGAGATCGTGTCCGCAAGGGGTTCCGCAGAGGTATCCGGTGCTGTCGGTGGACTTGATCTCGTCCGGTTTCGGGCAGGTTCCAGGTTTCTCGAACTGAAGAGACGCTGGACAGCAGACGCCGTAGTCGTTGCCGGACTGGACCAGGCAGCGGTACAAGGGTGGGCAGGAAGGTTTGCCCGGATCGTTACCGCAGAGGAATGGTCGGGCGGTTCCGCTGATGGCCAGCGGTTGACCTGCTGGGCAGAGATCCGATAGGGATCGGGCTTTGCGACCTGCGGGATAGGGAAAATTGAGGTTAATCATGGGGAACTTCCCGAATCTAGCTATACTCACAAGTCGGAACGGGTGGACAGGGTTCGTTCTTGCAGTTGACCTCCTGCGGTTCGCACTGCTGTCCGCGTGGGCACTGGACACCTTCGCAGGGATCGCGGCACTTGCAAATCGGACAGCCGCTGCTAAGATCCCGTGCGAAGCCTGCCGGGCAGAACATCCGACAGCTGGACGCCTGGCAGCTGGTTTCGATGGACGTGCAGTTGACATCGTCCCCGTTGGTTCGCCGGCTACCGGCCAGTTCGACTCCGTACTCGTCGACGCACCAGCATTCCGTTCCGTTGAGTTCGTTCGAACACTGAACCGGCTCGAAGTCACCCATGGCCGTGCAGCGCGGTATCCGCACCGATTGTAGCAAATTATCGCCTAGTGACTTGGCGCGGCGTGATTCCGCACGTCGCAGATGCTGACAGGCTGTTAATTCTATTATTTCTGATGGAACAGGGCGAGAAGAGAGAGGAGAGGAATGAAATCAAAAGTGAAGAACATGTGTGCGAAGAGAGGTGGAAGGTGTGTCGCATGTTTCGATTTCGTTTATTTGCACTTGGCAGTGGGGACGTCGCGAAGGTTTAACTCTTATCGGCAGTGAACGGGCTACGAACGACGAGCACAAAAGAGGGAACCCAATTAGGTATGATTGCGCAAAAAGTCAATGCCGCCCGGAGGCGGTTGTGCAAAGAAACCAAAACGACCGAAACGGTACTTTATCGCGTGAAAACTGGAAAATTGTCTTAGCTTGTGAACGGGTTTTCTGTCTCGCTTGATCCAGTTGAACCGGAGTCATTAGTTTTGCTGATAAACGCCGAACATAACCTCGCTTCCGCCCACCCCGTGCGGTTGGAAATTTTGAATCGACTCGTAGAGCCTCTATTTTTTGTTCGACTATTTAGCGTTCCATGTGTATGTGTGTGTGAGTGTCATCAATGCGACCATCATCAGTTGATTATCATTTGTTGTCGGACAAATCCCCGCATTCTCATTTGCCATTTGGCCTTGAAGGTTCCACCAAATCCTATCCTATTGACTCAAGAATGTATCTCCATCGGTCTCTGATGCGTTCCATGCGAACCGAACCTGTTTACCACTAAAGCCCTCTAGTAAAAGTATGGACGACAGTCACCGGAAAACCCCATATTTGAGTTCAGTTTACTCATAAATATTTAGCTAAAAGTGCAGGAACTCCGCGATGATTAAATTTTCCTAATGTTTAACAAGGTTTTTCCTGGTAAAAATTGGTTTCTCTCAGTCTATTGATCAATTTACGTGACGGTCGATTTTTTAGTACATCATCACTTTTGTAATTGCAATTCTGAAAACTAGGTGTCGCATGGCTTGTTTATGTTTGGAACTCGGTTTGGAACCAAGTTCACATATGGAAAATCAATGAGCGTAAACAGGTGAGGCCCAGTAAATTTATTGTCTCTTTCATTCTCTGGCTTATTAAATGGATGACGGAGCTTGACGTCACATTTCTTCAACCGTTTAAATAGCGGGAGAACGAAAGAGATGAGAAATTCACTGAGCCTCTTACATATTTACATCTCATTGATGGATTTTCAGTAGGCCGATTTGGCAGCACATCTCGCCCCTGGATAGGACACGGAATGCTTAAGAAATCACTTTTCCTTTAGCATTTCTTGTCCCAATACGCAATTCTAAAGAAATCGGTAAAGGAAAGATTGTTTTCATTGATATCGTCATCGACATGAAGGTGGCGCATTCCGGATGAAATTTTACTTTCCTTGCGAGATTGAAGAATCAAAGTGACGATTGACTCACAGATGGCGAGTGAGTGAAAATGGTAATGACGTTTTGATATCTGTCAAATTGCATGGCAGTTTCTTTAGTACATCATTATTTTTGTTATTGCGGATCTTAAAACTAGGTGTCGCATGACCAGTTTTGGCTTTGCTTTGATTTGCCAATTGATGAATTTAACTGACGGTCGACACGAGCAGATGGAAATGATGTGAAAATGATAATGACGTTTTGCTACCTGTCAAATCGTATGGAATATTTTTTAGTACATCATTAGTTTTGTAATTGCAAATCTGAAAACTAGGTGTCACATGGCCAGTTTTACCTTTGCTTAAATTCATCAATTGATGAATTTACGCGAAACTGCACCAGTGCATGCGACACCTAGGTTTGATAACCAAAACCACAAAAGTGATGATGTACTAAAAAATATTCCAAACGATTTGACAGGTAGCAAAACGTCTTTATCATTTTCACATCATTTCCATCTGCTGGTCGACCGTAACGTAGATTCATCAATCGTCACTTTGATTCTTAGATTAACGCGTAACATTTTGTAACCTGCGTGTTACAATTTATCCCGTTTTGTGTAGTTTTGCCGCCGAGTGTAATATTGTCGTGTTTCTCACGAGCGTGTGCCGTGTTTGTTATGCTTTGTTCTTGTTGTCATTGCACGGTCGGCGACATACTCACCACTATGCCTTCGTGAATAATTTGAATTTGTCAATTTTGCGCGTTATTTTATTCGTTTTTTGTTGTTATTAGTTTAGTTAGATAGGAAAAAAAAAATTATCGTTTTAGATTGTATCGCGTCCCAAATAAAATTAGGCCCCAAACGCTCCTCCCACTGCAAAAGAAGGCGAAAACATAGGAACATGACAGTCGAGCGCGGTTGCAGGAGCACGATGGCGTTTTTTGTGATTGCGGAAGATTGTGACGTTGTGAACGAAAAGAAAGAAAGTTACGAGCCGCGGTGGAGTCTACGCGGGTTTTTTTGTTCGAAGACGCTTTTTCCGTTAGTCCCGAGAAAAAGGACTTTAACTGATGGGAAAGGTTTGCCCAGCCGCGACGCAAGTGCCAGTCCGCAGGATTTGTTTGTGCACCGCGAGTGAAAGTCGGCTCCGTGGCCGTGAAAGTTGTGAGTGCAACAGAGTGTCGGATAGCCATTGTGGGAAGCTAAGCACTAAGGAGCTAATCATTTCCCCGGCTAACCACAAAGGATCCGGTAGACACTCGCCGTCCTGACTGCGGTGGCTCAGACAATAGAGCCAGTCTCGCCACCGCAGTTAATGAAGCAGGCAGTACTACAGGTGAGTTTACCTGGGCAGAAACACTGCGATGTCTGCCGGGGTTGCGAGCCCAGCTCATCCCCCCGCTAAGTGTTAAGGACAGCGGCTAAGCAGCGAAGAAGCAAACCGCTCAGCACAGTCCGTGCTTTGTAGCCGCAGAACCGCCACCAGACCGTCATCGAAGGGCCCCAACGAACAGCAGCAGCAACAGCAAGGAGGAGGCCACATATAAGTTTATAATAGACGTCTAAAATTGAATTTTCTTTTTGTTGCTTTGTTTCACCCAAATCCGAACGACTTTGGGGGAAATACCCCTGCTCGAGGCCACCCCCCGGGTAAAATCGGGCCAGCTATAGGTTGGCAGGTAAGCCGCAACTTACAATTTGAAAAAGGGCCTATCCTTGGTGATCGATACTCTTCATCGACTTTCTCTTTGGTTTACGACGGCAACATAAACGAATTTCTTGCTAAGCTCGCAGCACAGTTCGACAGAAGATGATGTTAGCTTGCGCCTTAAACAACACACTGAATGGGAAATTCATTCGCAGTCGGGTTATTCGCGAAAGAGAAAATCGATGAAGAGAATCGATCAACAATGATAGGCCCTTTCTGACCATTCTGAATCGCTGCAGGATCTTCATTACTTGGGCTTCTTGCGAAAGTTGAAGCGTTTCTTCTTCTCGGTTGTACATCAGCTTCATGCCCAGGAAGTAGTTCATCTCGCCGCAGTCGGTCATCTTGAACAAGGCAGTTCTTGAGCCGCAAGATCGAAGTCAGCTTCCTTCCAGCGATCAATAGGTCGTCGACGTAAATGATGATGATCAGCTGTCAAATACGAACAATCGTCGCCTACCTCGCATAACTGGTTCCAAACGTAAACAAGCCATAAGAAACCTACAGCGTTTGTTTACGTTTGGAACCAGTTTCATACAAGATGATCAGTAGGCTGATTTTACAGCACGTCCTCCCCAGATATATACAAGCAGTAGTCGTGAAATGACCGGGTGAATCCCATATTGAGCAACTTTCCATTGAGCAGCTCGTTCCTGCAGCGAGGAGACTGCTTTAATCCGTACAGGAACGTCTGTAGCTTGCACATCATGCCTTGATCAGCTTCTACGCGTGTCAGCTCACCATGAAGGAACGCCGTCTTGACGCCCATCTGGAACAGAAATCAATGGTGCACGCCGACAGCTACGGATAGTGATCAACTTTGTGATGGGGCCTTGTAGCGCACCTCCTCGCCGTTGCCGTTCTGCTTCATACGAAACACCCTTTTCGACTGGAGCGGCTTGACACCCTGGGGACAACGTTGTAGCTTCCCATACTCGGTTCGTCTCAATCTAATCCAATTCCTCTCGAATGGCCTTCAGCCAATAGGTACGGTCGTCTCGGCCCTCGATATCGTTGTAGCAGTTGGGGACATCTGTAATGCATGGACCTGCAGAAACAGCTCCGTAACGTGCAAAGAAATTGAGAAACTTACCGCTCCCTTTCGCTGCGCCTCAGCAACGGTTGAATCCTTGGATTCGTGCTGTTCTGGTTGCGAAGGGGGAGCGCCCCGGTTTTGGTGGTTTGGTTCAATTTCCTCGGGACGGTTGGGTGTGCCATCCTCAGCGTCGTGATCACCTTCCCCTCTTGCTCGGGAGGGAAATACACGACCAGTTTGTAATCCTGCTTCTCGGGACACTTCTGGTACGGAAAGCAGGATTCAATTGGCTGAAACGATCGCTTAATTTCTGTTGGATTCGCCTATTTTCATGCATCCCTGTCTATTTTTCTGCAAGATATTCAAGAATCAAAGTGACGATTGACTCCCATATGGCGAGTGGGTGACGTTTTGATATCTGTCAAATTGCATGACATTTTTGTTTTTGCTACATCATCATTATTGTAATTGCGGATCTAACAACTAGGTTTTGGCTTTGCTTTGATTTGCCAATTGATGAATTTACGTTACGGTCGACCAGCAGATGGAAATGTTGTGAAAATGATAATGACGTTTTGCCAAATTGTGACGGCCATAAGCGATCGTAAAAAAACTGGGTTCTTTCCATCCCGCTCGCATTCCACAGCAGTGCTGCCAAGTCTTTTTTGAAATAAAATGCATCTGTGTCGTTTTCCATTAAAATTTCATGCAATTTGACAGATAGCAAAACGTCATTACCCAGTTCACTCACTCGTCAGGGATCGTCCATTAATTATGTCACACTTTTAGGGAGGAGGGGGGGGGACGAAACTGGAAACTGTGACGAGCCATACAAAAAAAAAACTCAAGGTCCATACAAAAAATGTGGCAAAGGAGGGAGGGGAATGGGTTGAAAATGAGCCAAATTTGCGTGACATAATTAATGGACCTTCCCTCCCTTAAATTCTTCAATCGAG